AATCTGTTTGGATAAATGGCATTGACCAAAGAATACTCTCAGAGAATACTAATGATTTTCCCCGAGGAAAGCTTGGTTCACACGTACTTTTAAAGAAAAAAATATTAATTCCGTATGTATACATATTTTATTTAAGACTTTATTATTTTGTGTTAAGAGGGTTCTCTGTTTTATTTAAGTGCGCGTTTGTTCGGTGTGTTTATACGAGTTTACTTTCTGCAGATAAAAAATGCTAGGTATGCGTTTTGCTCTAGCTATATATAATGACAGGTACCTATTTAAGACTAAAACTCAATCCTACAAAAGAGTCATATTTTATTTCCGAAAAAAGATACACTCTGTCTTTATTGAAAGGTGCAAAATAAAGGATTTTTAGATTTTAAACATTTTATATTTGTTTATTTGAAGATTTTCAAGGGAATTTAAATTAATAATTATTGGGTTTGGGGAATGTTAAACATTTGTGGGCTCTGAATCGAACTTGTGTCTACTGAAAACAGTATTATCGCAGTGATGCGGAGGATGTGAAGGGTAATTTGATATTCATAAAAAAAAATTGATTAATTTACTTGGCCTATGTGACAAAATGCAGTTTAAGAGTACATACAATTTTCCTGTTGGGTCTTGCTTAAGGAGATGGCGCCAATGCGATGACACAAACATGTCTCGTATATCTTCGGGGAAGTTCGGGAGCCGGGGGTGAGTTAGGCAGCCAATGGGAGAGCTCGAAACACACGGGTTAGGTGTGTGAGGTGAGCGGTGAGCAGGGACTAGGCTAGTCAAGGCAGTCGAGGGATAGCACCCTAGATAAACACGTATTTGTTTCGGCTCCGCATGTAGGGGTGATTAGTACAGTCGCGCTGCAGTGGACGAAGTAAACATGTTTCCAATTCGTGACGCCTACACATTATGTTGTTTTTCTGTGTTGTGAAACCGATATATGTGATGTTCTTGTTGTTAGCAACAATATAGGATAGTTCTGTTGTGTCTGTTTGCATATATCGACATTTCCCGTCTGTTTTGAGGGTGGATTTGATGACTTAGCAGCCTAGTTCTATCTTCAGGTTTACGCAAAGGCGGCGTCGGCATCAAAGAAAGATCTTGCTGAAATTGAACTATTCTTTCTGATACAACCGGTACGTCTACAGTGGGAGACCTTTGTCTGGATACAGCCCTACTGCGGGACCGTTTGGACAACACGTCAACGAGGGAACTTTAGAACACCACACAATCAGGCCAGATAGAATTTAATTTAATTTACTTACATAGCCATAAATATCAATAACTTACAATCATATAGGTAGTCTAATTAAAATTTTTTAACCGGTCACTAAACTTAACAATAAATAATAAGGAATAACATATTAATATATTAAAAACTAAGCAAAACCAATTTTAACAGCTTCGTGGATTGTTTAGGTGGTAGAATTTCCCGTGTTACCATACAAGTTTTTGCCGGCAGGAAATTTGTGTCACATGTTGTGGTGTGCATGTTAGAGTTTTACATTAAAGATTTCTTACTTTACTTTTTCTTATTTAAGATCTGCATGACTATTTAAGTTCCTGTGTAAGCTTTTGTTATTTTGTACACTATTTTTGTACCAACCTTTGTAATTAATAATTAGTTAATGTCATAGTTGGGAAAGTAAGTCAAAAATTCTAACTAGTTAGAAGTTATAAGTTAGTCCCGTAAAAAGTAACTGATAGAAGTTATAAGTTTGTTAGTTTAAAAAGTAACTGATTGAAGTTATTAGTTAGTTGAAAAACTAACTGATAGAAAATAAAGTTAGTTTTAGTAGAAATGAGTTGTTCGTTGGGCAGTTGTTTTAAAGTATTTTTTAATGTCACATCTTGGTTACTAATATATACTATAATATGAGTAAAGATTGCGCAAGATATGATTTAAAAAATGCCTCCTACGATTTCCTCCAATTTCAATACTATTGAAAATTGCTTGTATAATACATTTGCATTGTATGATGTCTTATTAACCAAAGGGATAATTAGGACTGTTCAAAAACATTAAGTGTTTTACTGCAAAACAATATACACTGACATTGAACTAAAAGTCTAAAGGAAAGGCCAAGGAGATTTGTATTTTTCGACGATGCACCGCACGAATTGATGCGTTATTACACCATCCCGTAATTATAGTTGCAACGTTCCACGATCCCAATGACTTAATGCAATAACGGTCGTCAGATAACAGATGTTATGTATCATGAGTTTTATATTGATTGAAGCTTATTGTGGACATTTTATAGATTGATCGTCCAAATTAAAAAGTTTTGTAGACTAAATTGAGGATAAGTGGATGTCTAACAAAAACAAATTGACTTTACTACTTAATTAATCGTAGTAAGACTGAAAATATTTGTAGGCTTATAAGCTCTATTTTTTACCTCTTGAACAAATCAAACACCTCGAGCAAGATCGGTCCCCTGGTACTTGTGTTTTAATCAAACATTGTGACATTTTACATTACTACAACATAAACAAATGACATAAAACTTGTCAGATAATGAACATCAACTAAAGACAATGTTTTGACTCTTGAGATGATATATCAATCACCAAACAAACATTTCCCCTTCCCACCCATCAGTGCTTGGGGTGTTGATAATGGCCGTCACTACCCTTCCACAGGCCCAATGCATTCTAAAGCAACTGGACTTTGACTTTCTCTTTCCCCACCCCCCGCGTTGTTTGTCTACAAGGGCACTGACCTCTCACGGCCGCACGCAACCCTCACTGATCACGTGAAATAAATAACCAGTATTTGAGATGCTTCCGCATAATTGGGAAAGTTAGTTGAAAATTCTAACTAGTTAAAAGTTATTAGTTAGTCCCGTAAAAAGTAACTGATAGAAGTTATTAGTTAGTTAATTTAAAAACAAACGAATAAAATAGAAGTTAGCCAAAAAAACTAATGAATAGTGCTATGCTATTCGATAGAATTTCTATTCGTTATTCCCAAGTATGGTTAATGTACTTTAGTTGTTGTCTTAATAGTGCTTTATTGTTATTTATTAACCATTGTAAAACTGCGCAAACAAATAATTGCCGATAGTAATGAGATTTATAAGTTAGTCTCCAACTCAAATTATGATGAGAAAAAAATCTTAAACTTAAAAATGCAGTCTGGTCCATCCCTAATCGTAATATAAGACACTTCTGAAATTGGAGTAAAATAACACGAGGATAACCCTCACCACTACCCCTGAGGACAAAGATCAAATCGTCAGTCTACTATGAGATCACCTGTTCTGAACAGTGTTTTTTAGTCAAGGGTGGCTCCAGGAATAATTTTTTGGGTAGGCATGACAAGGATCAAGAAGGAGTTTGATCAGGTTACAAGCGGTTGGAGGGGATTCCCAGCAAAAAGGAAGAAATTGAAAATTGTAAATGCAAAATAGAGTTTTAATGCTTTTCCTTTATTTGCATACACTGTAGACTTCCTCTTAACCGGACTCCTCGGGACCGAGGCCATTCCGGATAACGGGTTTTCCGGTTAAACCGACGTCCCCAAAATCTCCAGAACGGACCGTTTAAATGCATACTCTATACAGTATTTTACTTAAAATTAGGAGAATATTGTATTTGACACATATAATAATCATTGGTCTCAAATCTTTCCCACAAGAACAGTCGTTTCAGTACCGCCCACTTCCTGCCAATCTAGTCCGGTTAAACCGATGTGCTGATAAAAATTATCCGCATAAAGAGATGTCACTTCTACAGAGTGTAGTCCGGTCAAACCGATGTCCGGTTAAAAGGTGTCCAGATAAGAGGTCTACTGTAATTAAATGTCTTTACTTATTTATAATTTTGAAATATCTACCAAAACTTTGAGTAGGGCCCAGGCTTAGCTGACCCTCTGGAGATGCCTCTGCAATTATTTATTTACTAGCAGAGTACCCGTCCTTCGTACGGGGTTGGCGTATAAGTATAAAATGCTTATTGCAGTCATAATTGTGGTTTGCGTTTGCTATGGGAGAGGACACGTGCGTTATAAGAAAATTTGGTTTACTATAATGTACTGTAAACTATAGTACCTATAGAACATGTACCATAGCTATAATGTTCTATCTCTGCACCTAAACAATATAATAAAGTAAAGTTCTCACAGCTTTTTGTTGCTGTTTGCTTCAAATTAGCTGTTGTCATAAATGCAAAAAGAATTAATAGTGCTGCACCCTGTTGGTAAACCTTATAACCTTTTAATGCAATTGAATTCATAGAACCAACTTGTGTAATAGCTGGAAAAATTCTTCAATTCCTTTTAAATATGAATACTCATAAGTTAACATGGAAAATTCCAGAGCCACTGGGGCAGAGTCCGAGAGGATTTTTGAGATAAGAATATGTCTATAATGTTAATCGAGAATGTGAGTTATCATCATACCAAATTTTAACCCAATCCAACCAGTAGTTAATGTGTGATTAAACTTCAAACAAACAAACAAACATACAAACACATAACCTTTCACATTTATAATATTAATATGATTAAAATACATCACATAAGGAGGGCTTCTACAGGCAGGCAGGTAAATTGACAAAATATACATAGAATAAACGCAATTTCACCTATAAAAATTTATTAGTAGCTAAATATGTTTACTGGTTTAAAAGTCTACATGCCTAAAGTAGCAAAATGCTAGGAAAAATCGTTGGATGGCAGAACGTATCTTATGTACAGTATCGTACTCAACTCATCTAGGAAGGTGTTTACAGTGCAAGCCTCGCACTGGAACTATCATGCTTGTACCTACTTCTCCAAAACACAATTACTCCAAGTAAAACACAATTTAGGGTTGTGATAAGCCCATCAAGTCAATAGTTGATGTCAATCCCTTTCCAAAAGTACTTCTTATTTGGCCAAAAAGCTATGCCTAGAAATAAACTGGGTAAATCATTATTGCGGTATTTCGTAAAAAAAAGTGTAAAAACCCCTTGTCCAAGTTATCACTTACAATTTTTTATTTTATTTTACTCACCGATCAGGACGCAGTTTTTCTCATTAAATTTCAAATACTGCTCTAGTGCAGACTGGGGAAGCAGCCACACTTTAGGCAGAAGAGTCTTAGGAATTTGTGGCAGTGGCCCTGCAAACATTTACACATCCTGTTAATAAACATTAGTTGCAATGGGCTTGTGGCTGTTTTTTATCGTTCTTAATGGCTTTGTTTTAATTTAGTTGACTACATTGAAAAATACTCTATTATTTAGGGGATACGGTTTATCCCAAATCATACGTAACTTAGCACAATTAAAACAACGAATTGCAAGGTAAAATTTGAAAGGACATTTATATTAAATGTTTAACCTATTTATATTTGTATTTAGTTTAACCTGTGCTTCGCAACAGAATGCGAATGCAGGGGATAATAACGAGGCTCTATAAATGTACTGTAAAAACAGTTAAACACATACCACTGTTTGTACAGGGGAATATCAACTGTACCGTACTGCTTATTTTTAATATCACTTCCGTTCATGAATGCATGTTTTAGGGATGGTCAAGTCTCGAAATTTCGGGAAATTTTAAATCTCGTTACACGAGACGAGATTTCTTTTTGGCTGAGATTTTTATCGAGACGAGAATAAAAAAAATAAAAAAATTAAAAACGCCTGCAGAAAGTCAATGAAATACCCGCAATACAGGAGCGTGTTGTAGTTGCGTTTCCTTTGCGAAGGCGTTCTTATTTAATTAATTCTATAAATGTAAATATTACTTTAATTATTTTAATAATATTACTTTAATAACATTTGAGAAGTTTTGTTAAGTGTAAGCAGTGTGAGGAATGTTTTATTACTATAAAAAGTCAAAACAAGTAACTATTTTATAAAAATTAATATTGCTTTTATTTTATGATTTATTTTATTTTAGGATAAGTTGAACTCTATCCTAACTGATATCACTATGTTTCCTAATCGTAGCCATTTTTAATAAGTTAGGCGTGATTAATAAAAAAAATGTTATTCTAATGTTAAAAGATTGTAAATATTCTTGCCTATTATCATTATTTTTGTATTTAAACAGTCATCTAACAATGTTACAAAATCAGGTAAAAATTTTGAACGTGCATTTCCCGTTGTGTATGAGAAGGGAAATCCCGTCTCGAAATTTTATGAGAAATAAAAAATCTCGTCTCGTCTCGTCTCGAACTAAAAATTCAATCTCGTCCATCCCTACCCATAACATACAGCCATGTGGTTGTGTTTGTCAAGAACAAAGGTGACCAACAGAAAGGTGAACAAAGGTGACAGATCCATGGAACCAGGCGTGCTAAACCACACTGTTATTCGTGTGAATTATTCCACTTGACTTCTCCCATGAGTTCTAAGGGAAATTATTCCACAGCGATTGGAAGCGGCACCTTAGTGTGCACAGTTCCATTTAACTTCATGTACAGAAGTCAGGTGGGGTATTTCTGGACTGCGTGGCACGGACAGGTTTGGCACACTTGAGCGTGCGATATGCTTTAATCAGAAAACTATCACATTGTAGGTTATTTGGGGGTGGGGGGGACTACTTTCAGGGCTGATATTTTTATGACTTTTCATACAAAAATTACGGAAAGTAAATAAAGATACGTCTTATAACACTTAAAACATATATTTACGCTTAAACTGTTACTCACAAGACGGTAAATATACAAAAGATGGTAAGTGGTGATCGATTTTGATTGGACACTCCAATCATCATCAGACCCAATAGGCGAATGACAAGAATCTTGAATGGCGTCCCTTCTTATACCCTATTGGCTACCGGAAACACCGGCCAATACATTTTTATAAGTACAACGGGAATCGAAATTTACTTGTTCATTAATCAACTTATTTCTATTTTTACATTTTTCCTTATAAATATACAATTCTTCCCAAGCATTCATCACATATCCCTTCTTACAATTCTTTAAAATACATAGATTATCCTCCATTTTTCCTATTGAGTGTCCATTTTGTAACAGGTGTTGTGCGACGTTTGATCTTTCTGGTTTGTTGTTTCTCCATGCGGATATGTGGTTTTTGAAGCGGTTGACGAAGTTCACAGTCTGTCCAATGTAGAAGCTATCACAATCGTTACAATTGATTTTATTGATGCCCGATGCGTCGAATCTGTTACAATCTTCTATTTTTGGGTGCAGTATTTTACTCATGGTGTTCTGAGTCCTGTAGGCTATCGAAACTCCGTATTTCTTGAATCTGTTAGCAGTCCTTTGTTTTGTAGTCCCCGTGTAGCTAAATGTGACATATCTGGTGTTTTCCTCTTTTATCTCTTCTAAAGTTGTTCTGCTGTGTAGCGTATTCTGTCTATTGAGTTTTTTTTTCGTCTTTCTTGCGATGTCCTCTATTGTCTTGGTTCGAAAAAGGGTCTGATGGGTACATTCTTCTTGTGTATTTTCGGGACCCCTTTCATCACGGGTGCTTTGGAATTTAGGATGTTCATCTTCTGTCTACATTCTTCGGTAATCACTCTGGTGTATCTCTTCACGACGTCGGACAGCTCTTTTTGGTACTTCTGCGTTGGATCCTTTTTCAGCTCTTTGAAGTTATTTTCTTTGATGAAATCTTCAGTCTTCTTTATATATTCTTCCTTTTCAAGCACTACTATGGCGTTGCTTTTGTCCACTTTCACGACGATTGAGCTATTCTCTTCCAGCTTCTTCTTTATTTCGTTGCAGGTCTTCAGTTCTTTCTTTCTGCTGGGATCTATGGGTCCTTGGCTGGTGAAAGCGTTTGTTGTCACTTCCTTCCGAACAGCATAATGGTCTACGTCTCTGAGTGATTTTACCACTTACCATCTTTTGTATATTTACCATCTTGTGAATAACAGTATAAGCGTAAATATATGTTTTAAGTGTTATAAGACATATCTTTATTTACTTTCCGTAAATTTAATAACACGTACAATGCTGATCAAGAAGTTATTTATACAAAAATTGTCAATGCAGCCCTAAAACAAAAAAGGTTGGAGACCCTTGTACTGTCCGCGAGAGTAAAGAAGTCCCTCGAGCCAGAGCGATACGCAGCTATGTTTGGAGGTTATCGCGCACTATTTGCAGGCGCTAAGCATCTGAGTGCCTCGCCTCGATAGCTGTCTGTAAACAACTGTTGTAAACATAAATACTCATATCTTTGTTTTGGTAAGTGGATTATCATCATGTGGTCACGCCATTTGATTCAGTGCATTCTCGTATGATTGCGTATTGGAGTTCTGTTTGGTTTTGGACAGTCCTTGCAGCTCAAAATGTGGCGCTACTATATATACAGGGTGTTCAAAAAAGGTGAAGACATATTTTACTTAGTGATTCCTTGGGTCAAAATAAAGAGAAAATCAAGAATAACATTCTTTCCAAAATCGCTTTGTTAACCAGATATCCGCCCGTTTGTATATTTTACATAAACAATATCTTTTAATATTTTCAACCGATCTTTATGAAACTTGGTCTGTAGGTTAAGGTAGAGGAGACCCGTGTTCGAAAAATATTTCATCTTGATTCAACCTAAAATCTCAAAATGGCGGCCATTTAAAATGTTTAAACTTAAATTACTAAAGAATGGCTGATTTTATGAAAAAATGTCAAAAGTACTTTTATTTAGCATTTTTAATTACCTATCAAACGATACGATAAGTTCAAAAAGATCAAATAATAAATAGCTGAAAACGCAAGAAGGCTGATCATTATTTTTATAGACCCACTTTCACTCGTGTTTTGAACGTTACTTTTCAGAAAATTTAAACAGTTGATAAAGCGATACCAAATATTTGTTTGTTTACGTCGGCAAAATCTAAAAAAGATAGTTAACATTCTTTTGCCGTAGTAAATAATGTAATGATGGATTTTCGCAGGTGATAAACATGGAACGAAAACAGGTTATTTCACAGTAGTGTAGCAAAAAAAAAAAAAACTATTATCTGTTTTGAGAGAAAGGATTAATTTTAAATGGATCGAATGGGCACTTCGGCGTCTTTTCAAAGATATGGGGTTAAAGAGGAAGAAATACGATTCCAAAAGAAAATGTTTGATTGAAAGGCCTGACATTATTAATTGGAGGTTTAAGTATTTGCGAGAGATGAGGAAGCTAAGGGAACAAAATAAGAAAATTTTCTATCTGGACGAAACTTGGATGGGCAATGATTTAACGTTCCAGAAATGTTGGCAAAGTGTAGACGTCGATGGTGTGTTACCTGATATTAACGCGTCGTACGAAGACGGTTCTAATTGTCCCGCGAAACGTTCAAGCGTAACGCCTTCAAACTACGAATAGGCCGGAGCTCAGGGGACTTCTTTACTCTCGCGGACAGTATTACAGGTCATTGTATGCTAGACGGTTTCCTGTTGAACACTGGTCTTTATAAATACAACACCTTCAATCCAAATTTCATTAAAACCAGACAAAAATTATTGCGTTTGCGGACGTATATACAGTCCATACATATACAAATTTTGGTGTTTTTGGTCTCTAGAAACATTAAAATGTATTAGTATGTCGGTCCCGGGTCTAGGTCATACCGTGCCACCTACGGTAGTAGCTACTTCCCTGTAGGGAATTTGCTAATAAAGTTTGTCCTATAAGAAATAAAAAATTAAATACCCCCGCCGCAGAAAACCTGCAGACTAAGAGAGTTTATACTTGTCTGATTACATTTTTACTAAAATATTTCCATAAATAAGACATATTTATTCCCAAATTAAATAACATAAGATTTAACGAGTACTTAGGTTTCCTGCTATGGGGAAGGTAAAAAGTGGTTTTTGACCAAACTTTTATAGCAAAGGATGAAATAATTGAATTTGCCAAATTTTATCAACATCAACAATCAACATATATCCATAAACAAACAAATTACAACATTTTTAATTTTCTACATAAGAACAGAAATTTTAAACTTACACTTTTTAAATTTTCTCTGTAACCTTTAGGCGTACCGGTACAACAGAGCTTCAATATACTAAATTATTTCATTTTTTTAAGCTCTACAAAACGGTTTGGAAAGAAATTGCAAGATTTTATTTTTTTAGGGTAAAAATGAGAAAAACTCATTTTTATCCTATAAAACCCCCCATAAACCCCCGTTCCCATGGTCCGATCATGCTGGTTCGCTCGTTCGAATAAATGTAGGTTTACACGCTTATACCGAATTTTAGCAAAATCCGATAATTTTCGCTTGAGTCATCGCGCTAACGGACACATATATAAATATAGGTACAAGCTTAATTACCGTCAATATATAAATATAGGTACAAGCTTAATTACCGTCATCGGTTCTGGTGCAGCCTATTATAATAATAAATTACTTTCAGTTTACTATCGTAGTCAATGACAATTGTTTCCTAGCACATAAAAGTCTTATCAGATGTTTGTTGATCTTCATAATTTATTAGTAGGGTATTGATGCAATAAAAAAACCCCATTAGCAGTCCCAAATCCATTTCATGACAATAATTGTTGTATTCAAGTACTTCCAAGAACTGTTAAGTTTTATCACTTTTATTTCTTTACGACTTTCCCCAATTCTATTTTATCATAAAAATAATAGTTTTATGATGACTGTTAAATGTTATCTCTAACTCAGTCAGTATTTACGTAAATTTCCATAAAGCTGTTTATGGCTACATATTAAACTTGTAACTAATCAACAATCTTATTTTATAAGTTAAAATATTTGTTATAGGCCTAGATATTTTATCTTTCTATTGACAAAACCACAAGCCTAGTTGTTGTTTGCATAATTTTTTTGTCGTTATGCAAGCCTAATCGGTCTCAAATTATGTCATTGCATGTTCTGTATCTTGTCTTATATTAGATGTGGCTGTTTTAGGCTTAAATGTTTTCTTTTTAGTTTCCTGTATTTTTTATTCTGTTGAAGGTACTTTATGCAATCTAAATCTTATGAACTAGATAGTGATTTTGCTACCCTCATTGTAACCTAATCAATTTATATATAGGCCCTCCTAAATAATTAGGTCTAGACTGTCAAGACTGTCCTGGGTCTTTTAATTCTATGGAAGAGCTTTAAAATATACTAAGAAAATTGAATTGAGTCTGAGATAAACTAATGATTGATATGATTGATATTGTGGATGTTAACTTTGTAAATGAAAAGTCAATAATCTTACCCTGTGATAATCCAAATTTTATTTTCAGAAAAAAACTTTGCAAGAGTTGTATCCATCTTATAACTAGTTTTGAAGCTGATAAAAAAAGATGCTCTTTGCCATTACTTCATCATAACCTCCAAATGCTTTTGTTTTTAAAAATTTAAAAAACAACTAGACATTGTGTTGGTTGGAAATAATTTATCAGTTGTGTTAACACGTTCGCGGCGGCACGTCAAATGGCGGGCGTATCCCCAGTGCGGCGCAGCCCTCAGCGCCGAACAAACCCGATTGTCGCGTGTGATTGGCTTTCCAATTTCGGTCTGACGAATAGCAAATAACGTGCGAGGATGTCCTGCTTTACAACGAGAGTCGACGTAGTTTGCTAAACACCCACAAATAGCAGCACTGCTTGGAACGTAGCCGGTCCCATTGGAATTGTATTGTCAAATGGAGGGAAAAAGACGGGACAAAAAGTAGATTCTTGAGATTGCCAGACGGGGATTTTACGGGGGAAATTTACTACCAACCTACACCACAACAAAATACAGTATACTATTGAGCAGTGCTGTGCGAGGTTTCAAGTTTCCAGCTCTAATCCTGGCTTAAAAATAAAATCATTTCGTACTGCATTGCAGCTTGGGAGCGATCGCACCCACCAGGATGGCATTAGGGTTCCGTATGGGAGCGATCGCTCCCATGCCGCCGCGAACGTGTTAAACTATTTTGTCAATAAATGTTTCAAATATGTTTATTCCTGAAAACTCTTATCCTATTTTTAAAAGCACTTTTATCATGGCTATTCAAAGTATCTCAGAGTAAAATAGGTAAAGCCTTTATCTTAACTGTGATTTTTCTTGACACAATCCTCGTAGTAGTAAAAGGTTATGTTTTAACAATGTGTGGTACAGTAATTGTTGTTAGAAAACAATGAATGTAGGATACCATCCATTTTCATAGTAATGTCAATGTATTAAAGTTAAAAATAATGGTTTAAATACAGTTCTGAGCAGAAAACCGCAAAAATATGGGTATCCGCGTACCGTACTGATTTTGTACCGAGAACCGAGGTACAAAATATTGTACCGTACCGACCTTAAATTTTCTGTACCGCAGACCCCTAATATATATGTTAGTATGTAAATTCTCTGTTTTTACCGACGTTAAGCAAGGCAGCGTGCGCTAGGCTGTAAAGAAGCCAATGACATTGACTATGTAAAGAAACACCTAAAAAATCCATTGGTAATTTTTATGGTTTCAAAACTTTAGGATAGAATATAAGGTGCTTGAAAATACATTTAGAGGAGTGTTACTACTGGGAGAGAATGAGTTACTGTAAATAAACCATTAGTTGTACAAGGTTTTTGTAAAACCCAACAACTTGACAGTCCTGTACCTGTTAAACTCAGAGAACAATTTTCTTTTACTTACGTTCTTTGACAGGGACAAGAGGAATGTAGTGGTTCCTCGCGCCACTGCTCCAGGCAATGCATAATGGAGGGTTTAGTTGGCCTTCTTTGTTGCAGCACTTATCAGGAGTAAACAATCCAGGCAGGTACAAAGCTAAAACACACAAACTCATACAGTTAGTTATTGGATAGAGGAGATACATTTATGAAGAACTTACCCAATAAAATAATTCCAGGCAGTTTACACAAAAGATCACAACACAATTAGCTAGATATCTTGCTCCTTGGGACTTTTTCAGAATGAAGTGCCTTTTGACTTCCTGTGAAAAATCAAGGGTGTAGGGGTGAAATACAGTTTCCAAATGTGTTGTGAACTTATTGTGTGCTATTTAACTGTCTGTATTTTTACATACCCTGCCGCAGCAAACCTGCAGACTAAGCGAATTTCCATTAGATTTTCAATTAAATCTATTAAAAAAACATTAGGTTTAATGAGTACCTAGGTTTGCTGCCTAAAGGGATAGTAATAAAATGTGTTTTTTAGTAAAATATTAATAGCTTAGTATAAAATAAATTGATTTGCCAAGTTTGATCCAAATATATCCATTAACAAGCAAACTACAACAGTTTACTTATTCTCCATAAAATTTTTCTCCATAAACCCCTGTTCCCATAGTCTGATCAAGCTGGTTTATTCCAAATTTGATCAAAATCAGATAATTTTTGCTTGATTTACCAGGGCCGGATTTAGCATTTTGGCGTCCCTAGGCCCAAATAATTTTTCCACCCCCTAGTCTGGTCAGATTTTCTTTCCTACAAACCTTTATTCAAAACTATATCATGCCTAGGCCTATGTGTTAATTGCTTGAACACCACTCATCGTCGGAATTTTAACATTTTAAGTTTTTAGAAGAATTGTCTTGGTTAGCCTTAACAAAAGCCGTCTTAAACACTTTTGGCAATTTTATGTTTTTAGCAAATGCTCACACTTGTGGGACTGAAACAAAACAATCTAACCCACACATCATTCCTGCAAAAAAGCATGTCCATTGATTCCGATTTCAGGCCCCAAAACATGAACTCCATAACAGTTTGTGATACCATGGATTAAACATACTCCTTTCGTAGATTTGTCATCCTTAGGGATTAGCTGAAAACAATTCTTTTTATTTAAGTTATTTAAACCTAGTTTGTCCAAATTATTACAAGAAATTAAAACACACAACATAACATAGAACTATCCCTAAAATAATAGAAACAAAATTACGTCAAAACTAACAACTTCCAGTGTCATTACACGAAAAACAATATTTAGAATTTACAATATGATAAGAAGTTGAATTGAGTTTATGGTTAATCTATGGTGGTACTGTATCTAGGTTATATTTGCAAAGCAAAACAAAGCAATAGTCCGGCCAACCATAATTATCCTCAGGTCTGAACTGAGGAGAAAATGACACCATTAATGGACAATGGTGCTTTGGAGGGGATTTAATTTTTCTATAACCTGTTGCAAACTCAGGTAAATATTTTTTGTTATTGAATTTTAAAGATAAACTTATCGTATTTTTAATATTCATCAAAACGTATTATATTTTTTAACTTCCCCTGTAGGTTATTGTAAACTGATCAAAAGATTGGTTGATAAATTTTCTTTTTGTGAGATGAGGGTGGTAAGGGTGTCTAACACGCATGCGCTCCTAATCACTCCGATCAGTAGCGCCGAGCCAGCATAGTGGCAGTTCAAAGAGTCCGGTGGCAATACGATGTGTGGGCCTACCGCTCGGGCGCTCGACAGCATCCCTACAGCCTACTCCCGTATAACCAGTGTTAGTTACCAATGTTGTAACGAAATTGATGCGTAATGTTGAAAAATAGTTTAAATTTTCTAACAGTTATTTCTTTCAATTAATTTCAAAATTACAATGCTTTATTAGCAAGAGTTTTTTTTTTTATCAACTCGCAAAATATGTTAAGCTATAGCTATTTATTTTATATTTAGATATTAACAGATATTTTTCCTCTCAGCCGTGCAAGCGCCCATAGGCCTGGGCCTACCGGGCCTATTGGGAAATCCGGCTCTGGATTTATCGTGCTAACGGACATATATATATATATATGAATTTGAACGGATGATGTTTTTGGCCTCTAGGGACCTCAAGTAAATCAGTCCCGGGTCAAGGGAATTTCCTATATGGGAAATTCGCTAAAATGCAGTAGCCCAGTCAATATAGGATGTTTCACCCATGTTTTATCAATGGAAAAAATATAAGCTTTGAATCTTTGGAGGATGATCCTCTTGGAACTCCTCTTTGACTTATTCAATGTGTTCAAGTAAGCAGTGGCGGTGCTTCCATAAGGGCCAAGTGGGCCGGGCCCACCCAAGATAAACAGTTAAGTATATTTTTAAGTACTTTATTTGTTATTTGGTTGATATTATTCAATAAAACTGTGATATAAATTAGTTTTAGCGAATTTCCCTTTGGGAAGTAGCTATTACCGTAGGTGGCACGGTAAGACCTAGACCCGGGACCAATTTACTTTTTCATTTTGATGTCCCCAGAGGCCAAAAACACCATTCGTTCAAATTTTTATATATGTATGTATGTATATATATATAGATTTATATATATGTATATATATGTATATTTATATACATATATATATATATAGATTTATATATAGGCCTATATATATGTGTCCGTGAACACGATAACTTGAGTAATTTTTATCCGATTTTGATGAAATTTGGTTTGAAGGTGTAAGGCGGGATAAACTTGAATGAGTTCGCGATCCAGCATGATCGGACCATGGGAACAGGGTTTTATGGGGGGTTTTATGGGGTAAAAATTGGTTTTTCTCACTTTTGACCCTCAAAACACAAAATTTCCCAATTTTTCTCTAAACCTTCTTAAAGAGCTTAAAAAAACAAACAATTCAGTATATCAAAGTGTTTTTGTACGGTTATTGGTTAAGGAGAAAACTAAAAAATGGTAAATTAAAAATTCCCATGTTATTCTTATGGAGAATATTGTAAAATGTTGTAGTTTGCTTGTTTATGGATATCTTTTAATCAAACTTGGCAAATATATTCATTTTATACTAAGCAATAATTATTTTACTTAAAACACACACATTATTAGATTCCTTGTAGCAGCAAACCTAGGTACTCGTTAAACCTAATGTTATTTAAATAGATCAATTGAAAATCAATTCAGCCAAATGGAAATTCGCTTGGATGGCAGGTTTGCTGCGGCGGGGGTATTTAACTTTCAATGGGTCATAACTTTTATTGACATACAATGCAATCATCTCGTAACACATTGAAGGGCTATGGATTTCAGGCCCTTCTAGCCACCACAAGAACGTAATGGACAAGGCAATGCCAGCCAGCGGCGCTTGACCATCAGGGAACAATGCATTGGTATATGGAGCTTGGTGGGCCGATTTGAGATGGCCCACTGGACGTTGATTCTCAATATTCTCGCTGGGAGTGCTGAGCGCTAGTGTAGCTTTTTATTTACATCCCGCCGTGTATGTTGTACACCAACCGGCAAACGGGTCGTAGATGTAATATTTGATGAAATAATAAGTTAACACCTTTAGTTAGTTTTGTAATATTATTTGTACAGATTTATTAGAATAGCCATATTACGGTTTTAGTGATTATAAATTTTAAGTAGGGGTGTGCGAATACTATTTCTTTTCGAATCGAATACGAATCAAATAGAGAGAATTTTGAATTGAATTTGAATTTTTTCGAATCAAATACTTTCTCTCGAATAGTATTCGAATAGTGAACATTTTTTAACCGAATACTAACCCTCAAATAATGAAAACTTGAAATCAATATCAAGTCAACTGTCAATAACTTAACTTAATTACTAAAACTGTTGGTATATTTTTTTCATAATAACTTAAGTGTAGATTGTAAATGTATCTTTTGTAGGGGTCTGCAGGTACGGTAAACAGCTTAATTACCGTCATTGGTTCCTTACAGCTTGGTACAGCCTATTATAATAATAAATTACTTTCAGTTTACTATCACAGTTGAAGTCTTATCAGATGTTTGTTTACGATCTTCATAATTTATTACTAGGGTGATGATCCAATAAAAAACCCATTACCAGTCCCAAATCCATTAACATTTTATCACGACAATAACATTTTATCAGACAATAATATTGTATTCAAGTACTTCCAAGAACTGTTGAGTTTTATCACTTTTATTTCTTTACGACTCTCCCCAATTCTATTTTATCATAAAAATAATAGTTTTATAATGACTGTTAAATATTATCTCTAAATCAGTCAGTATTTTCGTGAATATCCAATTTGCCACTGGCCATTGCCTACTGCCATAAAACTGTTTATGGCTACATACTAAACTTGTAACTAATCTACAATCTTATTTTATAAGTTAAAATATTTGTTATAGATATTTTATCTTTCTATTGACAAAACCACAAGCATAGTTGTTGTTTGCATAATTTTTTTTCGTTATTCAAGCCTACTCGGTCTCAAATTATGTCATTGCATGTTCTGTATCTTGTCTTATATTGTTAGATGTGACTGTTTAAGGCTTAAATGTTTTTTAGTTTCCTGTATCATTTATTGTGTTTAAGGTACTTTATGCAATCTAAATATTATGAACCAGATAGTGATTTTGCTACCCTCATTGTCACCTAATCAATTTAATTTATATATAGGACCTCCTAAATAATTAGGTCTAGACCTGGGTCTTTTGATTCTTTGGAAGAGCTTTAAAATGTATTAAGAAAATTGTATTGAGCCTGAGGTAAACTAATGATTGATATGATATGATTGATAATATGGATGTTAACTTTGTAAATGAAAATACAATAATCTTACTCTGTGATAATCCAAATTTTAGTTTCAGAAAAAAACTTTGCAAAAGTTGTATCTGTCTTATAACTAGTTTTGAAGCTGATACAAAAATATGCTCTTTGCCATACTTCATCATATCCTCCAGTTTTACATTGTCGTCTGCTGTGAACAGCTGGCAACTACACTCTCATCATACTGAATGCTTTTATATGTTTATAAAAATTAAAAAAAAAACTAGACACTGCGTTGGTTGGAAATAATTTACCAGTTGTGTGAAAGTTTTATGAACCAAGCACCGCAGACCCCTAAAGAATAGTCAAACATGATATAATGTTGACCTAAGCTTGACCCCTGAACCAAGCACAGTAAATACACACCTGCGTACTCAGCACAAGATTGCATGCCTGCTACAGAGTCTAAGAGCAGGATGGGTCGGCGCAGTACATTAGCCAGACCAAACACATGGATAGGCCGCAGTCCATCAATTCCATCAGGTGATGCAAAGTTTGGATCACACTCCTCTATGATGCGTGACCACTCTGATTTGTTGACGAAATCGCCTAGAAGTTTCTGTGGAAGAATGTCAGTCTTTATTGTTATAAAGTAAAAGTTTATTTATTAAATCAATATTAATATGAAAAGGTAGAAGAGCCTAAGGCCTTAGTTTAGTTTCATACAATTATCAGGAAACGGACATTATAAGAACAATTAGCATAATGGGCTATACGGCCTAAATGAACTTTGTACCTGTCCGCCCTATAACCCATCAGAGGATGAAGCCAAGCGATAAGAGGCTGTCTCAGTCATGATCCAGGTACGTGAAGACCTATGCTAGTGTCATCAGTATATTTTAATATTGTGCATTTGCCATAAGCAGAGTTTTACCTATATATGTTTACATATGTTACATATGTTTATTCCGGGTATAATAAGTGGTGACGAGTATTTTTAAAGAATTTCACGTGTGAATTTGTTTTTAAAGTGTAAAAATTGCAAATTTTGTGAATATTGCAGAAGGCCAGTAGCAACAGGAATAGAAGAAATCGTGTTTGTGTTCAAGTAACTGTTACACGCAACGGCTCCAGGTAGCAGTTATTGAAACAGTGACAAGCAACAGTTATCAAGCAACTGAGACCACGAAGCAGTTACTTAAAAGTAACAGGTATAAGTAACAGTTTGTTACATTGTTACGTTATGAAATTGGTGGTTCCAAACAATAACATAACCTGTTTTGAACTTGGAAAAGTTTTGTAAAAGGTTAAATGTGTGTTGAAATGAGAAATTGGATTACTTCTGTGAGTATTGCTTCTAGTTATTGATTACAAATATGGCAAAGCAAATTATAGGAAAAGTTAATGAATTAACCCTTTGAGTGCCAACGTCCGGGGAACCGGACGTTTTTAAAACGAGCCAAAAGTGCCGACGTCCGGCCGACCGGACGTTTTTAGAACGAGCCAAAAGTGCCAACGTCCGGCTGACCGGACGTTTCGTAATGATCGAACAGTTGTCATAACAACCGAATGGATACTCGGATTCTTTTAACCCATATATTAACATTGAGTCGAAAGTTACTAGATGCGATACATCAATTTTCGTTGGTCAAAATATCAAAAATTCGATTTTTACGAAATTTTAACCTAAAAATCGCCAGATCGCGCTCGGCATTTTTAGCACGACCTTCGGGAAAAATCATCGGCATTTTTTGAGCGTTACTTTTATTTCTCGCCTGGCACTCTAAGGGTTAAATGAGGAAATTGAAACTTTTGAGAACTATACAGAGAGATTAGAACATTTCTTTACCATCAATAAGATTGATGATGCTAATAAAGTGGCTTACTTTGTTTCAATCATGGGCCCTGCCCTATATTCAGTTCTGAAAAACTTTCTGCATCCTAAAAAAGTAGGTGAAGTAGATTATAAGGAGGTTGTAAAAGTATTAAAGGCACACTATGTACCAAAAGGATAACACTACTTATGAAAGGTTTATTTTTAACAAGCGATCCCAAAAAAAGGGGGAAACCATATCTAAGTATGCAGTACAGTTTAAAAAACTAGCAGCTAGTTGTAATTTTGATATATTTTTGGACAAAGCACTTAGAGATAGATTTTTATGCGGGCTAAAGTCGCCTGCTATTCAAAGCAAACTTTTAGCGGAGGGGGATAGCCTAGACTTTTCAAAAGCCCTAGAACTTGCTCTTTTGACTGAAAGCGCTAACAAAAATGTTAGATCATTACATCCTGAAAAGCAATCTTGTGAAATTAACCTAGTTAAGCCTTCATACAGTAAAACCTCTGTAGGCCTAAGACAGTTAAAGCCAAATAGGTATTTTAATAAGACGAGTACCAGTAATGCTAGTTACCAGGGTAACAGTAGCGATGTGAAGTATAGATGTTATCGATGCGGCAAATCGCATGATGCTAAAGCCTGTCCTTATATAGAATACACTTGTTTTTCTTGTAAGAGGAAAGGACATTTATCTAATATGTGCAAAGCTAGGAATACCTTTAAGAAAACGGGATTCATAAACTTGTGTGATGGTGACAACACGGAGGATGAACCTCAAGTTAAAGATCAGCATGACAGCGATGAGTTTGAATTGTTAACTATCGCTTATGCAAATGGCAATAAACCTGATGTGCTTGTTCTTAATATGTTAGTCAATGGTACTCCAATTGACATGGTTCTGGATACGGGGGCGGTAGTAACCGTCATGCCCGACGATGTCTATTTTAAACATTTCTATAATGAGGAAACTGCTTTGCAGAAATGTGATATCAAGTTATCTGAAATCAAACTGGATTGGAATCGCCTGGGTTCCCGCATGCAGTCAAATTTTGATGAGGACATGGAAGTTCACCTGATAAACGGTAAGGATGTTCCTTCTGTAGACTTAGTTACAAGTTTAATGGAGAAATATGCAACAGTTTTCGATGATGATCACGGGGAAATTAAGAACATGTCAGTTGATTTAATTTTAAAGGATCAGACAACTCCAGTTTTCTGTAAGGCTAGGAACGTGCCTTATGCTCTTCGTGGGGCTGTAGAACAAGAACTCAAAGATTTGCAAAAATCAGGCGTCATTTACCCGGTCACTACTATCACAACTATCCAACTAGATTTTCAGTTAATATTGGTATCCAATTTCCAAAAGTTAATTAATCGATCAATAAAACTTCTCCCCAATACATTGCAAAAATAATGTTCTCAAAATTACCTAATAGTTTAAAGTATCCCGAACCTTGCAGTTTGAAAACGTATAAAAATCAAGTAGACAAATGGTTAGTGGAAACAGGCCGTGGCCAGATTGATCATCATCTTGTGTCATTGTATTCGTAGGGTACGTGTGCGTGTGCGTGTGTCGTCAAAGATGTGTTTGTGTGTGTGAGGGGGGAGTGAGTGAGTGAGTGAGAGTCGGCTCGCTGCTGGCCTACAGGGACAGAGCAGTGACGGCCCTTTGGGGCTACCAGCCGCCTGTACAGGCCCTGTAGTGAGTCGTTGCATGCGTGTATTGTGTGTGTGTATGCGTGTGTGTAAAAGGTGTTTGAATGGTCTCCAAGTCCCAGTGATTTTTGACATAATTATTAAATAGTTTCTTCATTTGATTTTTCTTTTTATTTACATTTGCTAGTTATTTTTTATAGTGTTAACGTTATCTGCTGTGGCTTCCTGGTATAATGATTTTTCTCCTCTTTTTGTAAATGCAACTTGTCTATATAACAATGTTTACACTATAGAATAAGGATGGACTGATGTACTCGTTCCTCACGCACAGGCTTTGCCTATGTGGGGATCTTCCATTATTTTTAAGAATTATTGCAATTTCTGTAACCATTAATTTGTTATGGAATAAATGATATTTGATTTGATTTGATTTGACTAAAACAGAATGGAGCACTCCAATTGTAGTTTTTCCTATGCCTAACAATGGTGTTCGCATTTGTGGCGACTTCAAGGTCACGTTGAACCCTAACTTGCGAAGGACGCGTTGCAGAAAGTCAACAGTCCCGGAAGGTCAAATAATTTATACCTGTGCCGCTAGGTCAAAAACTACAATGTTTGCAGTGTCTGTAAATCAAAAATCCCAGTAAGTCAAATAGTACACTCCGAGCTAAAAACGTGGTCTATGTTAAAGCAATTGACTTATTGGGAATTTGACCTAATGCAACAGCAGTTTTAATATAACGAAATAAGATAAAATATAAGTTCAGTTTCGCTGAGTCAACAGTGCCGGAAGGTCAAAAGTATAATCTGTTAAAAACAACGATAGTCCTCTCGACGCATGACTTCAATAATTTCGTGTTTTGGTGTACTTAAAGTTGTGCTAAAATTTTGAAAATTGGCACAGAGCTTCTTGGTTAGTCCTACTCGATGACTATTTTGTTGGAACTTTAAACTATTTACCGATCTAATTAATAAAAATTGATATGTATGGTGAAATAGTTTTAAATCGTAATTTCTAACATAAAAAAGTTAGCATGCGAGATTTTTTTTTGTTTTTGGGTTAGTGAGGTTTCGTCTGTGGCAAAGTTGTAGCCAAAAGTGTGATGCGTAAAATATATTTTTTTGAATTTTTTACAATCAGTGGTTCAATAGATAACTTGGGTTGAAGAGGACGGCAAATTTAGCATTTCGCAACCCATGGAAAGAACTACATCGTACGATGCGACTGCTGAGTGGACTTTTAATTTACAGTTCTAAGAACAAGAAAAAGATGAATATACAGATCACCAGTACATTCATATTATTTATAAAACATCTTTCTGTATTACCAGCTTACATTTTTCACTTATAAGAATACATCATAAACAGGGTGTTAAAAATAAGCGGGGAGATACTTTACCTAGTAATTCCTTGGGTCAAAATAAACAGAAAATCAAGGATAACATTTTTTCCGAAATCGTTTCGTTAACCAGATATCCACCATTTTGTATTTTTTACATACAAATATTTATCTTTGCACTTTTCCAACCGATGTTTATGAAACTTGGTATGTATGTTAATGTAGGAGAGACCCATGTTATAAAAACAGATTCATCTCGATTCACCCTAAAATTTCAAAATTTAACACTTAACTACAGTATAATATACTTTACTACACCACAATATTTACGTATTACCATAAGTCTTTAACAAAATAAAACGTTAACATTTTTAAAATCCAAAGTAAATCAATATAATCTTTCTTTTTTGAAAAATATATTTTAAAAAAAGGCGATGGTAAAATAACGACAGGCGAGTTTCGATCTGGGTGTTTCAGGTTTGAATCTAGGAGGATTTAACATTAATTAGGTAACATTAATGTTTAATCCTCCTAGGTTTGAACTGATTTAGAGGAATACATGAAACCGAATGGGGGAGGTAGCAACAAGTGCACTAGTATTTACTAGTGTCCAATTACAATTTGATGGATTTAACCAAAACCTTTTCTATTTCACTTATTTTCAGCTGTTAAATTTCAAACGATACGTTTTAGTGACCTCATTAACGTTATTATCATCATCTTCGTTTGAGTTTGGGTTTGCGGCAATGTATTTTTATGAATAAAACCTTTAATTTGATACCAAACTTG